CCATAGCTAGTGGGGTCTCTGCACAGCAGCTGCATCTCCCTCCTGTGTTCTACCTGCCACGCTCTGAGGGAAGTTCACCTAGTGTTTCTCTTAACCTTTTCTGTGTGTGTGGTGGTTGTTGCTTTCTCCCTGGGGGCTGTTTGGCGCAGGTTAGTTGTGAGCCCAGCATCTTCACTGCTGCTGTATCTCCAGATCTCTTTTCTCCTTTTTTCTGACTAAATTGGGTATTCAGCATTTCCTGAAGTGACATATTTCCTGAAGTGAAATAGCCTGTTAGGTATAAGGAATGATCCCACATCTCAAGTTCTTCTATTCACCCATTCCTTCAACAAAATTGATGTTGAGCATTGATTGAGGGCTTTCAGGGACTGTCCCGGGTGTTGTGCAGTGGGGACCACAACTTAGTCTTAACCCGCAGGGAGCTTCAGTCCCAGTGGGTAAAGTAGATGATAAATCACAAAATCTTTTTATGTTTCTGTTATTAATGTGTTTCTGGTATACTGAAAACGAAAGATGGGAATGGAGCATGTGGAGCTCAATGGGGCGTGCTAGGAAGAAGTGAGGCCAGAAGATGATTCCATTGGGTCTTGTCTTTCTTTTGTTTTCTTTTGAATGTTCTTGAATGCAATGCATTTCCCCCCCAAAAGCATCTAATGACTGTCAGGATTTAACAAAAAAAAAAAAAAAGAGAGAATTTATAGAAGTGAGATTAACTGCAGCTCTTAAAATAGCTCTTTGTTTCTGAAAGCCTTGTTCTGCCATCTATCTTATAACGGGGGGTGGGGGGGGGCCTGAAGCAGTAACCTGTATAGCCCCTGCCACAAAGGAGGATATGGCCTGGAGTGACCTCAAGCACACATTGTTTTTTAAAATATTTAGAGGGAAAGACTTTTCCCCCATTTTTATTGGGGACTTTTACTAGTGAACAATAGCTCTTAATATATGACTTCTGACTTGTCCTTGTTGGATGTGGTGGGTATGTGGAAGGTTTGTGTGATGATGATTTCATAATAGTGTATCAGAAAATATTAATATAGGCACTCATTAACATATTTTTCAGACAGAATAATCTTGACTTTTAAAACCTCTTTATTTAATTCAAACACCAAGTAACTTCTTGGTCTGGATTATGCTTGGTGCTTTCTTAGAAATGGCAAGAGCCATTTTCTGATCTTTAAGTATGCTGTGCAACACATACTTTGCACCTATTTTGTACCTGGCCTTGTGCTATGTTCAAATGCCTCCATCACAGGGCGTAACGCTAGTAAAAGACCAAGGTACTCTGCAAAAGGCCCAAGCACATTTGAAAGGAATGAACGTGAACTTGTCAAAGTGAAAAGTAATGTTACTGAATGTGAAGTCAAGAATCTGCTGGATACAGAGGGGAATGGAACACGCGGAGCTCAGTGGGGTGTGCTAGAAAGAAGTGAGGACAAGAAGGTGAATCCACTGGGTCTTGTCTTTTGAATATTTTCAATGACCTATGTAACTTTTTTAAAGGAAAGCACTAATTTTATGAGGCTCAAAAGAGAGATTTCCATAAGGTACAAGAGAGGAGAATTAGCCTCAGAGATAGATGTGGTCCTATACTTACCTGTCTTTGGATTTGACCATGTTTCATTTGGAAACGTGGCATCCAGACTTTGAGCCTGGTTCTTAACTCTGGTGCTGTGGTTCGATGCGTCTTGGGTTTTCTCGGTTTGTATTCCCTGACCTCACAGGGCTTCTGTCTCTGTCGCTGTGTATTGATTCTGTACAAGCACTTCTCCAGCAGTGGTGTGCTCATCTAGCCTACCCAGAGAGCTCTCTAGGTTGCAGGCTCTGATTCACTGGGCCTGGGCAAAGCCTGAGTTTCTACCTCTGTCCACATCTGGGCTGGTGTTACTGCTGGCACCTGTGTATCACACTGAGAAACTTGGTTCAGTGAGATTTTCTCAGCTCTTACTACTATTCATAAATTTTCCTTCCAGCTGCATCTAATCTGCTATTTAACTGTATCCAGCAGATTCTTGACTTCATATTCAATAACATTACTTTTCATTTTTACAAGTCCACTTTCATTCCTTTCAAATGTGCTTGGGCCTTTTTCAGAGTATCTTGGTCTTTTACTAGCGTTTCTACTCATTTGCCTGAATAATAAATTAAATTTCACTTTTTAAGTTACTTATTTTCTTCTTTAATTTCTGAAGAGCCAATTCCCCTCTCTGCTGATGCTTCTTCATGGCAGTTTGGGAGCATTATTTCCCCCTTGCTATTGGTAGTTGATAGGTTTTACTTTTTTATTGTAAACTCATTTCCACTGGGAGTTGAGAGAGTGGGTGTGTGTGTTCTGGGGGGGTGACACTGCCTCTCCAGTTTGTTCCCCATTTGAGCCCACTTGTGCAACAAGCCTAGACAAGGCATCGTGTCACGTTCTGGTACACAAGGCTTCTCACCCCTGCACTTCTCTTTGGTTTGAATCTGTGGCTGTTTTTCCTGCCACATGTGGCCCACAAATGCCCTTCTGTTTTAGTTTCCTCTTGTATTCAACTGACTATCTGTCTGGGGGTTCACATACTACCTTCTTATCTGTTCTGTGACTGTCTCACCTTTTACCAGCTTCTGATTTCCTGTTGACTGCTCTTTCCTTTTATTTAAGATTATCTGGCCCTTTGTAAAATTCTGATCACGTGGGCTAGCTTTGGGCATGACCAAATTTTAAAGAGGAATCATACATTATAGTACAGAATTTCTAAATCATAATTATCTCACAGAGAGTGGTTCCTATCCTTATATTAATCACACTTCTTACTCAGACATGGAATTCTATTTCAGTCTCCTAAAGATAAATTAGTATGTACTGGAAAGGGAATTAAACTTCTGCTAGGAATTAAATGATATGATTAACACAAACATCCACATGAATGTGCCCGTGTTTTGCTCAGGAAAGAAGAATGTTTAGTGTAGATTATGCCTTATTTCACTAGTCACTATAGATAGGTAAAAAATGTATCTCATATGACAATATTAACAATTACAGGTAATTTTTATGGAATATTCTCTGTATGCTAAGAACTGTCCCAAGTACCTTATATAGATTTTTACCACCCTTTCATTTAAACCTCCCTTGGCCCTTGAAGGAAGTGAAACCTAGGTTGAATCAGAGGTTAAGGGAGTTTCCTAAGGTCACAGAGCTGGGTTGTTGTGGAGTTAGGATTTGAATCTCTTCAGTCAGATTCCAAAGCATGTGTTGTTAGCTGCACTACTTCCATATTAGTACCATCTGCAAATCTCTCTCCATATGGTGCCTCAGTTTTTATTGAGTTTCCTTATTTTGGGATGGAAAATGTCTCTTTCGAGCCTTATGAAATGTAATTTCCATTAAAAAATTTTCAGCTTAAAAAAAGGTATTGGGTAATTGAAATCAGATTGGTTAGAGCCTGTGTTGACGGAAGTACACATGGGATGTGGGCTGAAGCAGTCAGTGTAATTTTTCTTTCCATCAGCTAATTTTAAAGTATTGAGCAAGTTCTATTCTGATACTAACAGGGAAGGTTTAAATTCTCTTAAGAGCTTGAAGGCGTTAAATGCTTTTCTGGTAGTGCACATTTTACGTTTTCAACCCTCCACTTCATCCTAATGCACCTGCACTTCTGAGAATGTTCCTGGCAGTTCCCAGGAGCAGCCAGGTCTCTTCATTCTGGGAGTGCTCCCGTCCACATCCCTTCACCACTCCGGTTAGTTTCAATGGTGCTTTGGGTACCGTTGCATTGGGGAACTTTGGAAACAGCCAAATTCATTTTAGTCTGCAAGCAGAAAACAGACTGCTGCTCATATCTGGCACGCAGCTTTGCCCAGAAAACGAGGAGTTAACAAAAACAAGTCCGGACTGTGAGCGCCTTGTGACGGCTGTCCTAGGGGGCGCTCTGCTCCGGCAGTGACTCATGCTGCTCTGTCACTCAGATCAGCAGTGGCCCCTGCCACGCAGGGTTACAGCCAGAGCATGCACGGAATGGGGAGCTTGAAGCCTGCACTGCGGGGGATGTGATGCCCAGCTCCGCTGGCCAACTCGCTCCGCCAGCCCGCCACGGATGCCTCAGCCTGCAGCCATGGTAACGCTTCTGGCCGGCTACCCCCCTGGGAGTCCACCACAGTGGGCAGCCTCCTGGTGATTGATGGACAAGTGTCCACCTCCCTGACCGAGAGAGCGTAGTAGGTCGGCAGGAAGTGGAGAAGATGTAAGATGTCCCTAGCCGGAGTCCAGCCTTAACGAGGTAGGATGCAGACGCCTGTCAGTGTCGCCCACCACCAGCAGTGCGCAGGGCACCGTATACCTGGGAAGAACTTTATGCGCCTGATGTTTGATTATGCTGATTAAACTGCAGTGGGTCTGGGGGGCATGATTGAGCCAGGGAGGAGCGCTAACGATCTGGGGTGGGGAAAAAAAAGTGGTTCACAAGCTCCCTGAGCATCCTCACTGGGATGTGAGCGAGTGAGACCGCAGTGCTTTCCTCACAGAGTCACAGACCTCCCCGTCCTCTTCCTCCCCTGGCCACTCATTCCGAGTAATCCGTGAAGCAGAAGTTCATCTCATTCTGGTGATCTGCAGTAAATATCAATAATGTAGAGCCATCTGGAAGAGGGCAGAAATAGGTTCAGGTCATCTGGCACCAGCCAGTGAATGCCCCGGAGAAGCATCCTGGAAATATCAGGAGCGAGTGGCTTGCTCAGATGAGTTTCCCAAGTGTTTCCCTCCAGCCAAGTGACCTGTTTGAGTTTATCCTTCAGATTCCCCCAGCAGGGAAGGCAGCCTGTCTGCGGCTGGTGGCCATGTTGGCAGAGAAGGGGTTAATCTCTTGTTGCTGTATGAGCGAGGCTGGGTCTGCCTGTGTGAGCTAGATTGAAAGCAGGCGCTGCAGTGCCATCGGGAACGCTGAAGGAGTAAGGCGATTTCTCCGCAACAGTGTTGAATCTGCCTGAATTTTTCTCTCCCCCCCTTCTGCTTGTTTTTCTTTAACCAGCTCCTCCCCCCTTCGTTCCCACCCTCAAGTCTGATGATGACACCTCCAATTTTGATGAACCAGAGAAGAATTCGTGGGTTTCATCCTCTCCGTGCCAGCTGAGCCCCTCAGGTTTCTCGGGTGAAGAACTGCCGTTTGTGGGGTTTTCGTACAGCAAGGCACTGGGGATTCTTGGTAGATCTGAGTAAGTGAAAATTTGACTTTCTCAGGGACCTGCATTGATGCAAGACCTCTAAAGCCCAGAGGTGGAGGTGGAGGTGTTGGCGGTGGTGGTGGTGGGGGAGTGATGTGGAGGGAAGCCGCTAAGCAGCCTGCATTTGGAAAGCGGTTTACCTGTGTGGGCTCCTGCGGGGTCGGCTGTTAATATTCTCATTTTGTTGTGTTTAAGGGACCTCTTCCTAATTGTCAGCTGGCTACTTTGGGTTAGTTTTCCAGTCTTTGGTCCAGTGCTTTCTTTAGAGGGGAAGAAAAAGTGGGAGATAGATACCTAGTGGTACAGATGCTTGGCCGGAGAACTGTGCAGCGTGAGCGTGAGGGGAGCCATCCATCGGCGCCCTCCTCTCAGGTGGGTGGATGGAGGCTGCTGTCTTGGCTGCACTGCAAGAACCCTTAAATCCCTTTCTCCCGAGCTGAAGGTTCCCCGGTGGCTTTAGCTGAGCTGCAGGTGGCTATCTGGGGCTCTCGCAGAGATGGTGCTGGGCCCCGCTTAAAGTCTGCTGCAAGATCGGGGATCTGGCAGCTGAGCCTCTCTGAGCTGGCACAGCGCTGGCAGCCGGAGAAAGCCCCGTTACCGTGAGCCACCAGGAGGGAGTGCGATGTAGCCCAGTCACTGATTCACAAAAACTGGGCTTCGCAGGGAAAAGACAAACAAACTGCGGGACTAGAAAATGGAAGTGCAGATCCCACTGGAAACCTCTCGACCTGGCACGTCCTTCTCCCTGCTGAAAAGTGAATGAAAAAATGCACTGGCCTCAGCATTTGGGACTGGGGGATCCTGGCTCCCAGCCTCCTGGAATTTCTCTAAAATGTAGCTCAGTGTCTTGCTTCGTTCTTGTGATAGGATGACATTCTGTGCGCAGAGGCGTGAGTTCCCCGGAGGGTCTTGGCCAGCTGTGCTGTCCCCTGATGCCCCGGCTCCCTTGCTTGAAGGCTCTCAGGGGTGACGTTGGGTAGTTAGTTGCTGACCACTTAGGAGACCAGCAGAATTTGATTTTCTCCTTGACAGCGTTCATTCCCGGTTTGCTTTGCTGTAGCTTAGATATCGATTTGAAGGGGTATCATGTTGGTTCTTGGATGGTGTCTCCCCATGGGTGCTGTTTTGACAGCAGTGTTCCTGAAAAGACTTCAGACTATTGTGGGCATTTGAACACTTGATATGAAATAAGATTGTGGACGGTGATTGAATTTGAGCGATTTTTATGTGAGAAGAGGCTGAGGGAGTCCTTCTGTCTCTGCCTGGGGATGGGGCTTTAAACTCAGGTTTGGGTTTTGGTAGTGTTGACTGTGCGTTTCTGGCTAATTTGCCCTGCGACCCCCCCAAAGCGGTCTGGATGATGGGAGAAGAGGCAGGACACGAACTAGCTGTTGAATGTGCTGTTGGGTCGATTTGAAATGGCCCAACGGGACTGTGAGCTTTCTCATTGGCATCAAAGAGCAGGGCACAAGAGGAGGCCCAATGTTAGAGGGCAGTGGGCAGCTTAACCTTGACCTGCTGCACACTGAAGGTCACTGATTCGACAGCAAGGAAGGTGAGTGGGGAGTTCTAGTTCTGGTTAGTAGTGGCCTGGCCAGGGCTGCATGAAAGCTTGCCTAGGGTGCTAACCAGTTATCTGAAACACCAGCAAGGACTTGAGGGGATTGGGTTTCAGGAGCAGGGGCAGAATGATGTGGGAGATCTCAGGCATTGCAATTAATCTGGAGCCTGTGTGATTAATTGCTTATTTTCCAGGAAGACTGTAATTGCATCTTTCTGCTTCTCACAGAATGCTCACTTAAGGGAAAACTCTGACAGGCCATCTCAGTGTTAAGGCCCAGGCACTCGATAAATATTTGTTGATTTAATTTACTCATGATCCTTTCCCCCAGATTGTGTTTATATTGCTTACTGTATTTGAAGATACCCTGTTTCACCTTTGGTAGTTCAGAAATATCTCTAGAGCATAAAACGGGCTGCTGTTCAGGCCCCAGCAGAATGCATAATGAAAGTCTCACTTAAAAAAAAAAAAGTCAGTGCAAATAAAACCACGTCTTTCTTATTTTGAAGACAGATTGGAGTGTTCCTGTCTTCGGGGCACCTTAAAGCCTCCTCCCTATCAGTTTGGAGTTGACACCAGAAAGGCTTTCTCTCATCTTCTAATGGCTCATGCTGTAGGACGTGACTGTTCTGCCATAGGCAGCCCTGTGGGTGAAATCTGCAGCTTCGTTTTAGAAATATACTCCACCTGTTGGTTGGAGGTGACCCTGGACATACCGGATTATGATCATTCAGAAATCCAGTGAAAGAGGTGCGGTGATGCAGTTACTTAGAAGTTCCTGCTGTTATGTAGCTGTAACTAAAACATCCACTTGGAGGTGGGGGCGGGGGCGCTTTCTGCCGGGTACCACCGTTGCCACTGCAGACCTCGTGTTGCTTCTGGAGCTTTCCCTTCTCCCCCTCTGGTTTTTCAGCTTCACAGGTTTTTATTCGCACATGGTGATTACCTGTGCGGGTACTCACTCTTTCACACCACCGAGGAAATTGCAGATGCTGCTGTATTGCACCTGGTAAATTGACCCCTGATCTGTTCCCTGTGAATTGAATGAAATGCTCAGAGGTGGAACTGAAGGAAGGAGGGACTTTTTTTCACAGAGACTCAGATGGCGAGAATGATTCTGATTCTTGCTCTCTCCAGTCACTTTTTAGATTCCCTTTTTTGGGGATCTCAGACCATTTTTACACCAGCCATCAAGCCCACCATCAGTGTAATAAGAATCTGGATCTCAGCATTCTGTGTCTTCGGTGTAGTGTCTGTTCTTGCAACTCGAGCAGGGAGGAGCGGGAGAGGTTCTACAGAACCTGTTTTGGATGTCTTTGTGGAGGGGTTGTGGTAAAGCCTGGTGCACAGAGTGCCCGCTGCACTTTTTCCTTTCAGCCAACGATAGTGTCAACCAGACCTCTGAGCCCCATGTGCCTCCGTGTGCTTTTGAGCCCCTGCTTGAATTTTGCACTGGTAGGATAGTTAGAATCAGAGTGTTAAAGATTTAAAAATAAAAGGCTCCTGGCTCTCTTCCCTCCCGTCGGCGTGTAAAACATTTCTTTAGGTTCCTCCCTTTCTCCCAGGCCTGAGGTACTGCCTCGCTTCAGCTCACTTCGGCAAGCCTTCAGTATAAACTCTAGAAAGAAAAAAAAAGGCAGTTGGCTTTATATGTTAGTTTGACACATGCTGGCTTTATGCTTTTGGGGAAATTGTTAGAGGAGCAGTGGGATCTTGATGAGGCTAGAACCTGGGATGGCAGTGCCCGAATACACAATTTTTGAACGCAAACTCTCTTCCTTTTGCTCAGGGCTTCTTCCTTTCCTTTTGGGTGCCCTGAAATTTTTGTTTCAGGAGCCAGCCAGCCAGCCAAACACTGGTGGAATGAAGAAGTGGCTGCCACCAATGCCTTCCAACAGTTTCAGAGAACCAATTTTTGGCCCTTTGGTTCTTTGATTCTTTCCCTTGCTCTATTGGAGTTTCTTTGCATGCCACTCTCCTCAACTGCAAAGCGGGAGGATGGTGTTATCAGTGTCTTGGGACTGTGGGAAGACGAAGTAAAATAGTGCTTGTTCTAGCACCTGGCACATGGAAAAGTTTCAAATGTTCACTATTATTAATGTTTTCATTATTCCTAATCCACTAGTCTGTCTATGAGTAGTGTCCTCTTATGTATGGCAAGAGGATGTGGAAAAATTTAGCAATAATTTAGTAGCTCCAAGTCATGCCAGACCAGAAACCCAGCCCTGGGGATCTTCTGCTAGAGAAAACTTGAGCATCTGGACCAACCGGAAGCAAATATGCAGTTGCCAAATACCTGTAGTTAAAAAGCATTTATTGGGGTATACTGGGGGACAGAATTAGGAGGCCCAGTTTCTGGATGGGCTCCTTCCCATCAAGGTCAGCAAGTCAAAGCATATGTGTGTGAAATCATTCAGGGACCCAAAGCCAACCCCTTTGCTGGAAGAGATCACAGCACGAATAACTTTGGGAACAGCAAAGCAGAAGCCCAGTGTGGGGGCACGTAGTGGCCACTGCCCAGCCCTTACCAAATCCCAGCGACCACCTGCCTCAGAATACCTGCCTGCTTCCCCAGTTGAGCGGTGGTCTCCAGGGAGGGCCGAGTCTCACTCCTGTGGTTTCCTGGAGTGTCGGGCATGATGGGCCCTCATTTGATCTGTGGGTTGGAGCTGAGCTTATAAGCACTTTAATGGAGGGAAGAACATTTGACTAGGCTTCCTGAAAAGAAGCAAGTTCGGCTGAGTAGAGAGGAAAGCTGAGGGGATTTCGGGTGGGCAGAGTGAGCAAACAGCAGCGCATCCTCACAGGCTCCGGCTTGGTAACTAACAGGCTCTCTCCCAAGTGCTCGCCACAGAAGGACTCCCTCAGCTGGCACAACGGCCCGCAGGACAGTTTGGTCATTCCCGTTTATCTGCAGGGCGCTGAGGTGAAGCAGCTGGCCCAAGGTCACGCAGCTTCTGTTGGCTCAGCCGGGACTTGAACCCCAGGCCGGGTGTCTCCAGAGTCTCATAGCTGCTGTGCTGACAAAGACAGCTGCTCAGATGGGGAGGCGGAGGAGGTTTGTGTGAGGCTCCCAGGCTTCGTGGGATGGCACGCGGCAGGGCTGGGGTCAGGGTGAGCGCTGCAGGCCCACTCCCTGCGGGGTCTATTTTCAGTTTCCGCCCATGCGTTTGGTAGGTGGACCGTGGGTTTTTCTGGTTTCTTCCGCTTTTCATGTAGAGATTCTCCCCTGTGTGTGTACATGCACCTGTACGGATGGGCTCTCCTGGGGAGGTCTTCCCTGTGCGTGTGAGTGTTCAAACTTGGGGCCTAAGCTACAGGTTTCTTATAGTGTGAGCAGGGTGGGGCAGGCCCTGCCTGGACCTTGCTCTCCATGGGATCCTACCCGAGTTTCTCAGTCAACATTTGGCGGGTCCCTGATTCAAGTCGC